TATCTTTTGGTTCAATTAGTAATTCACTGTTTGTGAATGAATTATAATACTAAAATTTTTATGTATCATATGATTCTGTTGTTTCTGTTGTGTTGCATGTATTTGTTCCACATTACCTTTGATTTAATGATATAATTGTAGAGAATTTAGTACGTTGATCAACTTATTGTAAATGCTGAGTGTGCGTATCTTCCTTTGTAAGGAAGAACCATAAAAGCATTTGGTCCTAAGAATTAATATCTAAAGACAATTGCATTATATTTTACTTAGAAGCTATCTATTCTGTGTGATTAATTCTATGCTTTAACATAAGAATGTGAACATAATTGTGTGATCTATTCAGCGGCTTTTCTCCTATTTTACCTAATTTTCTATTTTGTGGGTCATTTAGTTGTTTCTCTTCCCTTTGCTAATGCTTCATCCTTATGTTCTTGCTTGAGACTGCTATGAGGACTTTTTTGGATGATTTATACCAATCATGATGGTTAAAGAATTGTGGGGAATCTCAACCAAAGCAAAGAGGGAAAACACGAGGAAATGTATAAATAAGTGCATGGGCCATTGGTTTTGAATTAACCACAATGTTAATTTCTTTCAGATAGAGTATGAATCAAGTGCATTCTGAACATGTTCACATTACAAATTCAATTTCCTTAGTGATTTGACTTTGTTAGAGGTCCATGCAATTGATGAGTTATTATGGTAGATAGAAACGCAATGCAATGGATAAATTTGTTACATCAGATAGAATATGAATCAAGTGCATTCTAAACATGGTCACATTACAATTCAGTTGCCTTACTGATTTTAAATTGTTAGAGGTCCATGCAATTGATGAGTTATGTAGAAATGCGAAGTATTAGATTTGTTTGTTACATGTTATAACTCTTTTTGCAGTACTTGCAAGTAGTGAATAGGTCATACTATTTGAATTTTTTTTTTCTTTAAAAAAAATGTAACTATGTAAGTGATGATGTAACTTGTGGATGGGCTTGTCTTCCTTTATCCTACATTTTCCTTTTACTTGGCCCTCAAATGCCAAAGGGTGAATTCAGGAGGAGATTGTGATGCATGACGGAAATTATCTAGGGGAGGCATGCTTTAGCCAGCACAAATTTGTTTCTTCAAAAATACTTTTCTATTTCCTATTTATTTTGTGGGTCCTCTAAATATGATAAAAATGTACATGTGAATGTATATGGTGTTATGAGTGTGTGTGTGCGCGCGCGCACGTGTGTGTGTTCGATCTGTTTCATCCTTAGTAACATAATGAGAAGTAAACTCTACTTAATGCCTTAAAAAATAGCCCTTAACCTTCCATTCAAGTTCTTCTAGCTTCCCGGCAAGAAATTTTCCAACATAATCTTGGAGAAATTTAGATCATAATCAAACATATATATATAACCTCTGACATAAACTAACTTTTAAGTACCTGTGGTTATCATACTTCCAACATAATCTTAGAGAAATTTAGATCATAATCGAACTGGTAAATAAGTGCTTACATAAACTAACTTTAAGTATCAGTGGTTGTCTTACTGCTATGTCCCTGGTAGTCTAGTTCTTGCCTGCAGCTCGGCTTCTTCAAATTAAGTGTTTATCTTAAGGTCTGCCTTTCAGTTCTTTGATAAGCTATGTTGCATATTTGTGCTGGTGTGCTAAGTGATTAATTTATGCTAACAGGAAGAAAACCTTTATTTCAAATTTATCCTACTTACTTTAGCAAGAATCTTGGATGAAGATTTCTTTGAAGAAAATGTTAATGTACTTTCACTTTCTTTCCTCTGCTGTGTGCAACCTTTCTATTTACTTATTCAAATTTCTTTTTCATTATGATTTGCTTAATTGTTTATCAGGATCTTCTTGCATCTAATGAGGTAAATGGAGTTCAAAGTCTTGCACTTGTCAACCAAGAGAACTTGCTGAATAATGATGCAAAACATCTAACTCTAATCAATGATCATTTTAAAGCCCAAAGTTTAAGATCTAGCATGGACCACTTAAACTGTGAGGTACGTATATTGCATAGGCCTGTAAGGTGCAAGTTAGTGAGAATATTGCAATTTCTTATATTGTTGAGCATGAGACAATGTTATTTAATTTTCTGTTACAGCTGTGGCATAAAATTTGTTTAGGATAACACCCGATATAATGGCGATTAATATACTTTTTTTGCTTCTAGCTGGAAAGGATGAAAAATGAGAATCTGCTTCTTTCGGAAGATTTTCATCATTTTGACCCCAAATTTCCAGGTTTGCAGCGGGAATTGATGCAGTTACATAAGGTGAATGAATATGGACCTCTTACTTCCATAAAGTTTTGGTAAAAGCCCTTCAAGTAGGCTCTCAATTTTTGCCTTTGCACAGGTGAATGAAGAATTGGGAAGCATATTTCCTTTGTTTAATGAATATTCAGAAAGTGGAAATGCATTAGAAAGGGTACTTGCATTGGAACTTGAGCTTGCCGAGGCATTGCAAACTAAGAAGAAATCAAGCATCCTTTTCCAGAGGTATGCTATGTCCTACAAAAGAATCCTAGTCTACTTTTCTTATTCCTTTTCTAACTTAACTGACAAAATATTTTGATCAAGTCTCTCACTTGTGAGAAGCTTTTGCTTAAGGGAAGCAATTTACCTTGGCCTCAGGGGCTTGTATAGCTTAGGCCTTGAAGATCACTTCAAGAGTTTTTCTGTGTCTTTCCATGTTTAAAGTTCTAAGCCTGCTGCATATTAAATCCCTAGAGTATTGCATGCATGTATGAGTTTTACATATATAAGAGGAAATTCATAAAAGATTAAATTTATTTTGTGACTTGAGCATCTTTTTGTCAATCTAGTTTCCAACGAGGATAACTGGCTTATATGAAAGTAATTTGTTACATAACTCTATCATGATCTACAACAACCTGTCTGGGTTCTATTTATAAGGCGATCAGGAACTGTTAGATCTTTGTAACTTTGTTACTGTCTGCAACCTTTATAAGTTAATTTAAGTTTATTTTTTCCCCTCCAATGCGACTGTGGTCATATTCTCATACGTTTGTTATTTCTGTGCTGAAATTGTTGGCTATAACACATGCTTATCATTAAGTCACTATGAATTAACCAGAGAGGAGGGATCTCCCTTTCATAATTTCTGGTGTGGCATTCTGATACACACTTGTATGTACGTCGTGAGTTGTGACTCTTTTTGTGTTAACAGATTCTGGCTTTGGCCAAGTTTTATTTGGTTGAAAAGATGACTGAAGTGACCTGTTTGGTGACCTTTTATCTGGTGTACCAGTAATTTAGATGCAGCAATCAAAACAATTACTAGTCCTCAGATATCCTTGTATGCCATACAGAGGATGCATCTTCATACGCATTTAATTTGCTTGTACTTTCCCCTTCAAAAGAATTTGAAAACCATTTGCAGTCATGTATAATGTAACCATTGAGCTAAAAGAAAACATTGACTGGGAAAGATCTCATAGGCATACACTTGGTATATCTTCTCTTAGGTGGAATCCCCGCAAAATTAGCAACCCCCTCTCACTAATGTTCATATCCTATTAGTTTTGATTTCCACTGAACTTTCCCTTTATTGCTTTGATTTCTCTCTTTTTGGGCCTCATTGTCTCATGAAATGTCGAACAAGTTTGTGCAGAAAATCCATATTTTATTATGCATTGCTGTTTTAAATTAGGGACATTAGGATAACGATAATTTAAACTCTAGCTGAGCAAATGAAACATCAAAGAATTTGACATAATATTCTCGTGGTCCAGCTCTTTCTTGAAACAGCACAATGATGAGGAAGCAGTGTTCAAAAGTTTCAGGGACATCAATGAGCTAATCAAAGACATGTTGGAGATAAAGGGAAGATATGGAGCTGTAGAGACTGAACTAAAAGAGATGCATGAGCGGTACTCTCAGCTAAGCCTTCAATTTGCAGAGGTTGAAGGAGAGAGACAGAAACTCATGATGACTCTCAAGAATATTCGGGCATCCAGGAGAGCTCAAAACTTAATTCACTCCTCATCTGCCTCTCATGGAGACCATTCCTGAGCTAGAAGAACAAACCGTGCACTGGATGCCCTGTTTACTGTCCCAGAAATGACGCTTACAGTTTAAGTTAATGCCTGCTCCTTCCCTGTCATTATATTATCAAATTTCCTGTGGATTCACGGGCTATTGAACAACTGCAGGGTTCAAGTTTTTCAAGCTTGGTACACAATGTTAAAATGCAAAGCAGCTGTATTTTATGTAAAAAAATATATATATTTCCCGGTCATTGTCACGGGTTTGCTAGTATCATAAAGTATAGATAGACGTAACATTTGGACCTTTTTCCCCCGGTCCTAGTGATGTAGTTCTTCTATTGTATAGTGAATCAAATTCTTTGATCGACAAGACCATTCTTATTTCAATACTAGGAGCAACAATTCAACCCTTATGGCCCTCTCCCTTAATCTCTGCTTTCATTGATCTGCATCACCACTAGTTGGGGCTCTGTTATTTGTTGATTAGCTGCTTTACCTTGTGTTTTCTTTTCTTCACCCCCATTAATCTTCATTTTCTCCCGTCTTTCTGATTTCAATCAACCTTGTTTTCCCCTGGGGTGCTCAATGGTACTAAATTTAAGGCTTACTTACCATCCATGATGAAAAAGATAATTGCAAACAATCAAACATGTGGTCATCCACCATGCAGGTGACTTAAAAGAATTTATATTTTCAAGAGCAGTCTAATTAGAAACAACGAAATCAATAATTTCTCCTATGAATTTCTTTTTTAACTTTTTTTGGTCCGTCATCAAAAAGTTTCAAATTCAACATATTTTTTTTTGCCCTTTCTTTCACAAGCAACAATGGAAATGCAAGGTTTTCCAGTAAAGCAAACCACAACATTTTTATGTTTCTGCTGCCACCTGAATTGATAATATTCCTGAAACACATAATGCTGAAGAATTGCAATCTAAACAAATCTATAACAGGAATGCAATGAAGGAACCGGCATCAGAAGAATAAGCGTGAGCTATCTCATTAGACAGCTACAAGATTGTGCATGAACAGCTGTTTTTCTTTGGAGAATCATTCTGTTGCTTCTCTGTTGGATAAATTGTCAGGAGTTAGTACTTAAGTAGGGATATGGCATGCTGATCATAGACAAGAGTTAGTACATGTAACAAAGTTCAAAATGCAAATAAACAGCATATATTTAAACCCCACTTTTCCAGACGAGTTATAGCTATAGCATGCTGATAAACACGAGCAATGATACAGCTTCAATGAGAGAATGGATAGAATAGGAAACAACGATGGATAAGAACCCTATTTTTTGTTCAGCTACATGGAATGAGTAACTGCTGAAAGAATATTGAAGAAAAGATGAATATATTGACTGTTACTATTATTTACTCCAGAGAAAATTTTCACATGGAAAGCAGCATTCGATTTTGGTGATTTGGTTCATAAATTGTAACAATGATTGCTCATACAGGTAGCTAATTCTGGGCTTATTCAGCTATTTATGAACGAGATCAAAAGAAAGATATCAATAATGCTTGGAAACGATTTTTATAAAGAAAATGTTCATCCAGGTGTAAAAAATAAAAAACATATGCTGTGGATTACCATTGTTTTTGTCTGACAAAGGAAGACGCAGAACGACATGCATTGTGATTGCACCTCCCGGAAGTTCACCAACCTGGAGTCTGGACTCAGCAAGTGTCCTGTTGTTTTCAAGTATCTTTCCAGCATTAATTAGCTTCATATCCTGTATTGATTTTGGGCAATTTTCCTTGTCTGAGAAAGAGAGAAGAGTATTCCATATGAAAACAGAAGCCGATTGTATAACAATGTTATTAACAACAAACAACACAACAATTCAGATATAAGGCACAGTATGGGACGATTAAAAGCAACATACTACCTCAATGTACTAAAAGCTTTGCTTGTGTTCATTATAGAGAAGTAAAATTGAAGGACAATGAATGAGAAGAGACATAAGTGGAAATCAGAATATTGCACATTCAACTAAACTTCATCCTGTCATCCAAATTCTGAATTGAGATTTTAGATAGCAGAATGCAATATGTGTAACCATAGGCATGATATAATGCCAGAGTGGGGTTCTTCAACTTTTCAGCCTCAACTAGCATAGGAAAAACAAGAACAAAGTTTCTGATAAGCTTTTGCCCTTTAGACTGCCTTTCTCTTTAGATAACACTTGGAAATCCAACAAAATAAATCACTGACACTTTATTATTCAAGAAATCAGTATGTTATTGATGTAAATCCATATGCCTTTGAGTTCTTGTGGCATGGATCCAAGAGTACAAAAATAACCCCCACCCATTTTGTCATCTAAGAAGAAAAGTACATATGGATAAATATAATGCAAATTGGAAAGAGTAGAGCCAAAAGACTACTCACAAAATCAACTAATTTGCAGGCAAAAAGAATAATACAGCACCTTGACTCTTGACACAGATAATTTTGATTTTGAAACAATGAAAAACAAGATACAGTAATGAGAAAAGGCTAAAAGCATGAAATTCATGGTGCATACAATTAAACAGGTAAAAATGAAAAAATTGAACAACCATTAGGCCACTGTGCAAGTATTTTTTCTTTGAGAGATGCCACAGTTGTAGCTGGACTATACTTGCTTGGACCAATGTCAGTCCCATCTGCAAGCCTGAATTTGAGTTCCACTAAGTCTTCTCCAGCCATAGATGAAATCTCTCACCAATAATCTAACCTCAAACACTCATGCTAATCTCCAAAAAAACCAGATTTTTTCTCAATCAGATTGAAATAACTGTTAACTACGAAGTCTTTCTTTTTCTGTGCAAAATATGGTTAACAAACAACTTAAAGTTTACTTCTTGTAAAGGAAAACCAACATCACAGAAGAAACTATCAGTAACCCAGATATTTTTTTTGCAAAATTGACTGCGAAAGTTGATCACTTGAAAATTGAGGAGACTTAAAACTCCAAGAATAAAAAAGGTACTTTTAGTGGTTTGACATGGGACTGATCAGAAACGTAGGATAAACAGAATAAAGAGGGAGAGAAACCCTTGCAACTTGACATAGAAAGAGAAGAATGAAACCACCCAAAACTTTTCAAGTGAGATTTTTAACTGAATCTAACATAAAATCTAATGCTATAGAAAGTGACACTTTTACATTGTCACCCATAAATAAATACAAACTAATTCAATTTCATGTAAAACATGTTCAAGATTAGCAAAACTCATATTTCATGAACGGAAAGGGAATGTGAAAAACCCTTTGAGCTCAGTTTAAGAAGTTGACCCAACAGCTTAGGCAAAGTTGGAAGTGATGAATGGAAATCACGTTTTCTCTCACTATTAGTGAAGTATAATTGGGGATTTTGTTTTTTGGTTAAATAAATATTTGACCTTAAATTTTAAAATTTTTGTCACATTAGTGTTTAAATTTTTTTTTTTTGTCATATATCAATATTGATATATGAACTTTTAAATAAATATTATATTGTTATTTCGGACGAAACGTCGTTAATTAGTTTTAAAAATATAATATAAACATCGAATAATATATTAATATATGTCAAAAAAATTTAATTAAAATCACATCATCATTATCACGTTAGTACAAAAAAAATTTGAAAAAATTACTAAAATTTTTTAAAAATTATGAAAACATTCAAAAATTTTAAAAATTAAAAAACAACTAAAACATTTTAAAAAAAAATCCAGAAATTCTATAAAATTAAAAAAATAAAAATTATTAAAAAATTCAAACAATTTTAAAAATTAAAAAAAATCTTAAGAAATTATAAAAACTTCTAAAAATTTTTAAAAAATTTCAAAAATTATAAAATAATTAAAATTTTTTTTATAAAATTAAAATAAAAATCTAAACTTTTTTAAAAAATTCCAATTGTTTTTAAAATTAAGAAAAATTCAAAAAATCTAAAAAACTTCTAAAAACCTTTTAAAAATTCTAACAAATTTTCAAAAATTCTAAAAATTCAAAAATAATTACTAAAAACTTTGAGAAAATTCAAAAAATTAAAAAATTCTGAAAAAATTTAAAAAATTCCAAAAACTTTCAAAAAAATTTAAAAGTTTAAAATTTTAAAAAATTTTAAATTTTTTTTAAAAACTTGTAGAAATTCTAAAAAAATTTAAAAATTCAAAAATAATTAAAGAAACTTGAAAATTTTCAAAAATTTTTATAAATTTTTTTTATAAATTTGTAGAATTTCATTTTTTATAAAATTTAATATTTTTATTTTTAAAAAATTCTTTCAAAATTTTTAAAAATTTTCAAATTATGATAGTTTTTAGAATTAATAAAAATATTTCATTTTTTTAATTTTTTATAATTCTAAAAAAAATTTTAAGAAATTTTTTAAAAATTATCAAATATTTAAAAATTTTTAGAATTAAAAAAATTTATAATTTTTTGAAACTAATTTTTTATAAATTTAAAAATTTTTTAAAAATTGTTTTGAATATTTTGAAGTTTTTAAAATTTTTTTGAAGTTTTTAAAATTTTTAGAAAATTTTAAAATTTTTAGAATTAAAGAAAATTTAGAATTTTTTAAGAAATTTTAATATTTTTTGAAAATTTTAAAAAGTTTTAGAATTTTTTAAAATTCTTTGAAATAAAATTTTTTTTATAAATTTTAATAATTTAAAAAAAATTTTAGAATTTTTTTGAGAATTTTTAAAAATTTTTTAGAATTGCTTCATAGTTTTTTAAGTTTTAAATTTTTTTTTGAAGTTTTTAAAATTTTATGAAATTTTAAAATTTTTATAATTTTAAAAAATTTTAATAATTTTTGAGAAAATTTGAGAATTTGTTTTAGAATTTTTTTAAAAATTTCATTTTTATACTAACATGACAATGATAATATAACGTTGATTGAATTTTTTAGCATGCATCAATATTTTATTAAATGTTGATGTCACGTCAATAAAATTAATTAATATCATTAGTATGAAATTTCAATGTGATGCAATTTAAAAAATCATGTCAATATAATAGAAAATTTTTTTCGGTACCAATGTAACAAAAATTTTAAAATTTATTAGCCAAATATGTATTTAATTCTTTTTTTTTTTAGTTCTAAATTTGCAAGTTGAGCACTCACAAATCACACTAGTTCCACTTTTTTGTTTTATTTTTTTTTATGTTAGAAATCTTTTTCTTTTATCATCTTAAATTTAAATTTTAACTTAATTAATTTATACAAATAATAATCGAATTCAGCAAATGTAATTTCTCAAATTGTACCGTCTATTTTTATTAAAACAAAGTCCCAAATATGATATTTTTGCAGAACTTCCCGCTGTTGTGAAAAGTGAAAATTATCAAGAAACTCTTCAAACAAAATAACGGGGACATTAGAACTATTATTATCATATTGATCAACTTGCTCCTTCTGACGGTGACATTACAACATTAGCAATTATTTATGAGCGAGCCTTATCTGACTGGCTTACCAGGACCACCAACATTGGACAAACATGAAACCTTGGTTGGCACAAATATTCATGTTGATTCACTGCCTGATTGGCGTATAGCATAACAACATGCAGCAATTGATGGCCACTAAAAAATTAATGAAGAGTAAATTTTGATTCTTCCAGGAAAGCGGAAGGTTGAACTAATAATATAAAAATGAAAAATCATTATTATTAAGATATAAGTTGCATAATGAAGAATCTAACACCATTTGATATTCATCAAATATTTTACTTTTTTTAATGTGTGGAGACGACTTGTGCAGATGCTTCGTTAACCAATTCTTCTGAAGCAGCCTGGAATGGCGGCCACGTCTACAACCCCGCATCACTTTGTGGATCAAAGTTAAGGAAAATCAATCACCAAGTATATTAATAACAAGATGAATAACAATGAAAATTTCCTAGGCCGGCAGACTAAATCATGCCGTCCAAATTGTGACCAATTCAGCTTGAATCTGTCAATGACAGATAAATGACAGAGCTGAAAGCGCAGCCCTAACAGCAATCAACTTGCCAAGCCGAAGGCTGACTAATTAGATATTCCTGGTAAGATAGCAATCCTCCTCCCACCCCAACTAGGGACAGATGATGAAAATTGCAGTCAAATTAGAAGGAAGCTAGTGATGGAAGAAGTTAAATGTCAAATCCTTTATCTTCCATGTTTTTTTTATTCCACCATCCCATTTTACCAATGACTGGTCAATATTTCGTCTATTTTTTGCTTGACATAAGTTTTTATTAATATTTTCATTGATTGAATGTAATTATATGTTTCGTTAATTGAAAACTTAATTTTTTATTTAAAAATTTTTATTAAATAAAAATATTAAAATTCATTATTTTAGAAATTAAAATGAAATAAAATAAAATTTTAGCTTTGGTACTTGTCACTTCTTTAAAGGAAATGTTAATTCTCAAACTAACAAACTTGTTACATAGCACCTCTATGATTTATAATGATTTCATTTTCAGTATTAATAATATAAATTTTTATAAATGAATATAACATTGGTAGTGGCAAAAAAAATGTAACATTGATATAAATACATTCAAAAGATGGTTCCAATGATTTTTGTCACACCTTAAAAAATTCACCAAAAATAATTAATGTTATTTCACTTGATAATTCTCTACTTAGATAATTATATTAAGAAATCAATCACTTTTAACACTTTTGGATTTTCCATTTTTAAATATTAAAAAATAATTATATTTACTTGTATTGAAATGAACAATAAATTCACTATTAATATTATTAATTAACTTCGATCCCCATGGTTTATGTTAGTTAGAAGTATAATATCATATGAGGAAAAAGTCTTGTACGAAATATATGTTATATATTTATATCATCTATATATAAAATTGTAAACCCTAAAAATACTAATAGTGATTGACCTAAATACCGCTATAACTTTTTAAATTAATAAATATATCCTTAAATATATAATTTTATTAATTAATTTAAGTTTAATTTAATCAACCCGAATTAAAAATAGAGTTTATGAGAAATTAAACTACTTAAAATTTTAATTTTAAAAGTGTTATAAATAATTTACTAAACTAACTTTAGTAAACTTTTTTTATAAATTTTAATTTAACTTAACTTTTTTATTATTAGACTGTTTTTTATAATTAGACTAAATATGTGCTAAAAGTAATTGATTAAACTCTTAATAAAATTTTAATTTCAAAAATATTAAAAGATAGATTAAAATATTATTAGTAATTTTTTTATAAATTTTAATTTAAATGATTTTATTTTTATTATAAAACTTTTTTTTATAAGTAGAATGATTTTTTGCATTAATGAAAATACAAATAAAATGATATAAAAGCTTAATGTGCATAGGAATAAAACAATTATATGAAATTTATTTCTTTAATTGTTATAAAAACAATTGTACATGAAGTTTATGTTGATAAATAAATTAATTAAAAATAATTATAATTAAGTCATTTAAGCATATTTATTTATTTCTATTTTGTGCCTTTTAGTTTTTTTGTTTTAATATATTAACTATATATGTATGATAATGATTTTATTATTTGTATGTTTTATAAGTTGAACATTTGATCATTGATAACATAATTAAATCTTTTTAATCTCTTGAAATAATTTATTAACATATTATTCTTACACTTTAGTATGACATTTATAATTAATTTTTCTTTTATATTTTTTCTTTGGAATTTTATAATTATTATTTTTATAAACAAAATCTAATGTCAAATCAAATGCAAATTAATTTCACTTTCCTCACCAATAATTAACATTGTGTCATTCATTGAATACTTTAATTATATTTTCAACCTGTAGAATTAGATAATTCAAAAAATGGTGGAGTTATCAATAGTTCAAGATTGAATCCCATCAAATTGTCATAAGAATTGTTCACTTTGATTGAAATAATAATTTATTTAATTTTTTCTAAATGTTTATTTTAAAATGCTTATATATGATTAATTTATATACCAAGATTATTTAATCTTTTTTAATTATATTAAATTGCTCATTTTTTGTCACTCATGCAGTTGAACAACCTGATGTGAATTATTTTAAGTAAAAAATTATCAAGTGAAGTAAAATTAATTATTTTTGATAAATTCTTTTAAGATGTGACAAAATTCATTGGGACTATCTTTTAAATGTGTTTATACTAAAGTTATATTCATTCATGAAAATTTATGTTGCTAATGTTGAAAATGAAATCATTATAAATTGTATAGGTATTATATAACAAGTTTGTTATTCTTATAATTGAAATTTTCTTAATAAAACATAATAAGTACCAAGACGAATTTTATTTTATTTTATTTTTTAAAATTATGT